GATGAGTCTCCGCGAATTTCCTTGCTATGAAATTAGAAAAACAACTTTTTTTTCAATTTATTATGAAAAATTGGGTTGTTCTTAAATAACCGGTGATACTCCTCTATTCCTCCTAATTTTGCTCATGCATTACGCGTGAAGGAAAATAATAAATTACAAGAATTACGGTCCTTGGCGAATTTATTTGAAATTTGTCCCTCCTCATAAATAGCAATGTGAAGTGGCATATGGTAACGCATATTTCTAGAAATTTAATGATAAGTTACACTGGTAGGCGCACATACCTATGTATATACAAAGACATAAACGTACGCACATTTATGCATGTGCATATTAGATGGAACGTAGATAATGTTGGTTTTATATCTTAGTTCTCTTATTTACTTACTCCTGATAGTGCGTTAAGTTGAAATTTAGATAATTCGTGTAGGTGGGCTAATGGTTTTTGGTTATTTTCATCTAAGCAGAAAATACATTGACCAACAACTATTTTTAGGTTCCATACTTTCGTAACATTCAATTTTGTAGGTATTTACAAACCGACAAGCACTTTTTAACAGTAGTGATATTAACCCATATTACATATTTTAAACTTTAATTAAACGATAGCAGATTTTTAAGCTCACTAGCAAATTATAAAATCATTAAAATTGAAATTGTAAAAGTACTTACCATTCTTGAAGAATCAAAACGTGTTTTACTAAAATGATCCTTCATCTGNGCTTTATCACGTATCTTTTATCTCTAAACACTTTTCAGTATACAGACACAAAAAGTTTATAGCAATAATATATGTATAGATTGTAATAATATTAGGGAAGTTATATGGTACATATTTCTTCCTAAAATTATTATAATTTTAAAGTCTATCTATTTTAATAAAAGAAATCTTATCGGATAAATAAAACTCGAATATTCAAAACCAAAACATCGCTAACTGGAATCTTCTAAATATAACCAGTTATATACAAGTATATCCTATTGAAGGAAAATTTCTGCTCTTCCATAAAAAATTTTGTTTCAAAAACATCGCATATATTTAAGTATTACTGTTGTACCCACCTCTAATAAACCTTACAATCTCAGATCACGATGTCAGACAATCCCTATAAGTATTTCGTTAGTATTGTCTTTTCCTACCGGAACATTACGATCATAATTTGTTTTTTTTTTTTTTGCTATTTTCCATTATATAATTTAATATTGAGTACAACAACGAAAATTTGTGGTGGTATAATTCCGCTTAAAAATTTGAGGCACTGATTATAGCTGCGGCTGATTTTTCCGAAGAAAATTAATAGAAATTCGAAGTAAAGAGGCAATTTATAAGTAATGTAAAGAAAAATTAGACTATTGAATAGAGACTTTAATATTGAACAATTAAGTTAAAGGGGAATATAGTAGTTTGGCGTCTAAAAATTATAAAACCAGAAGTGTCCCTTTTTGGAGGGGTGCGTTTTTGAGTAGGTAATATCAGTTCATAAAATAATCATAAAACACCTTTAACGCAATTATTCTGCCTCTTTTTTTGTCCTTTTCGAGTGAAAGGTTTTGTAACAAATATAAGACGATATATATTAAGGCGTTAAATGAATAAAAAAATATTCGAATTGGAAAAGATTGGAAAAGATTTTGAGTTCTGGAAGTTCAAGTTAACAGAAGNGTCCTCCAAAAACTCTAACAAACATGCCAAAATCCTACCAAAATCTTGACTGTTTTCAAATATATTTTTCTCAAAACCGATGGACTTTCAACCCACCAAACTTTACTTAATTTTCTTATTTTATATTCCCCTCTCACTTTCCGCAACCGCGTTATTTATTTATATGAAAGAAAATGCCTAAAACATTTATGGAGTTTGTGAATAAATCGGTTTCTTTCTCTTATTTGTATAAACACACCTGAGTTGAAAAAATTTATCTGTTTTAAATCTAAAATTGATTATTGCATTTATTTTATTGCGGAATTAATCTGATTTTTAACTATATTTCGGAGCTGCTAGTCACCACCTTTTCCGTACAGTTACAGTTGATTTGATTTTGTCTTCGTGTTTTGTGCTCTTTTGAATGTCATCTGATTTTGTCTCTTTGGTCGTATATGTGTCTATATACATGTGGGAACCCATTTGTTTTTATATATTTTATATATTTCCTAGGTTTTACCCTGGGTTTCGCTCGCGTTGATGTCTTTGGTACGTGTCAAAGATCATCAACGACTACATAAAAGTGATTTTTCTATCCTTCTGGAACACTATTTTATTTTGTATAAAATGTACCCTATGTCTTTTCGGTACCCCTAACAATGTGTGTGAAAAAATTTATGATAGGTTTTACCAGCGGCTTCGCTTGCGTTTATGTCCTATGCATGTGTCAAAATCATCGACGTTCACTTTTAAATTTTTTCTATCCCTCGGGAACATTATTTTATTTTGGATATGTTTTTTCTGTACCTCCGACAATGTGTGTACAAAACTTCATGATAGGTTTTATCCGCGGTTTCACGTGCGTTGATGTCCTACACGTCATTGACGTCTATTTGAAACTATTTTTTGTATCCCTCAGGAACAGTATTTCTTCTGGATATAAGGTACCTTATGTCATTTCGTATACTCTTGACAATGTGTGTACAAAATTGTATGATGATCGGCTGAGTAGTTAGGCATGAAATGATATACAAACAAACAATTTCACATTCGCACATTTATATTAGTTAGGATAAGGATAAACACAGGAAAGAAAGGCAAAACGGGAAACTATGTATAAAATTATATTATCTTCCTAAATAGATAGGTATGCTAAAGGCGTCCTTCTTGATTACCCCAAGGTACTTCAATTGTCTCTGGAATGGCCAGCGCCCCCCAGGAAGGTTCTAACGTTCCCTGGGGGCGTTATTGTTCTTGTTGGAAATCTATTTTGTATTTTACATTTGAAATAACAAATCAAAGAAGTATTTGCATTTTGTATTTAAATACTTTTAAAAAACCATTTTGCACATCTCTAATTATAATAATATGTGTATAGGTTTTATAGACATTTTTACCGGTTTCCAACGTTATATAACAATGCCAATTATAACATGTTTATAGCCCTTCTATATTTAATTCATCATGTTAAACGTATTTTCTATTTGGTGTGTTACTCTACTTGGCATCTAACGTTCATAGTTAGTAGTACTCATAAATAACGTTTTGAACGATTTTAAATTACTCTCAGTTATTTTAAGAATGGAATAATAAAAAAATGTAAAAATCTGTAGCAGAAACTCCAACGCCACGTGCTAGATGTTTTCACTAAATCGTACGCCTTGGGCATAAAAAAGAAATAATTTTAAACCACAACAAATCATTTCATTCAACCTCCCACGCTGAGTTCCAATACAATAGGTCCAAATTTTTTGAAAATAACAAAATTTGTTTAAGTTGGATGTCATTTGATGATAATTTTGACAAAACGCAGGCATTATTTTAAAGGCTTGGACAACTGCCACAGACCAATTACCTCGTTGTTTTATTATTACACGTTACGTACAAAAGATTTAACAACACATTAATATATTAATGTGCTTTCATCATGTGCCTGACCGCTACTGTCAAACTGTTCCTCAAATAGTTGTTAACATGTTAAAACTGAATCTCTACGTTGGAATTAAATTAAATATTTTCAGAACTGCCAAAGTCTAACGTTAGCAGTAAATGGGTCGATAATAATGAGCTTAATTTGTCAACAGAATTGAACAAATTTTGTTGACATACAAAAGTATGGACCGGGGCTTTTTCTTGTTTCATCTGAAACCTCTAAAACTACCACCAATTTGTGGTTTCTAGCAAGTCAGATAACATGGGTTTTAAAATAAATAGTAGCTCAGGGTNAGAAATAACAATTAAATTAATTTGAAAACATCAAAATAAACATATAAAAAAAATATTCTTCTGTATGACCAATAGTAGTAAGGTTTGGATATTTTTTTTTAATCATAGCGGCATTATGACAATTAAGAAATGAATTGGCTACATTTGATTGTCAAAGACCTAATAGTAATTTAAAAAAGTATCTGTCTTTTTGTTGCTAAACTCTCGAGTAATAAACATTTGACGTTTCGGGATAAACAAATTAACATATCTCAGCAACAAAATAACTGATGAAATTTAATTTGAATAAGAATTGAAAGGACTTCTTTAAAAAAAAGTCATTTTTACAATTGCTGAAAATGGCATTTTCAAAACTTTTCTGTTTTTACAATAACTATTCAATGAAATTAAACTTTTCACGGCTCAAACTGAGGGTTTTGTATTGTCTAATTTTTTAAATATTCCAATATTTTGTTGGGTTGTAGAACGAAAACAGATATTTTAAAACTTTGGAGCCTTCTACTAAAACAATCATTAAAAGTTACGAGTCGTATTCATATAGGGGTATCTCCTTTCATCGTCCTTTATAAAGTAGAGCAGCCACTAAATATTTCTCAATCTTAGCGCAGAATTGACCTTTTTATTCCTCACAGTCTGAACTAAATTTGCAACTATTTTATCTGCGAAAACTGGAAAATGGGCAGTTTCCAATGATGCATTAAAAAAGTGCTTCTAAATAATCAATCGTGAAATTGACATGTTTACAACATAGACCTGCAAAAACTTTACGCACCAAGCCCAAAGGCCCCGGGTTCGATTCCCGGCGGGGGTGTGACAACAGCAACAATTTTTCCCTCATTAATTTGAGGTAGCGTGTAGTGGGTAAAAAAGTCAAAAATGAATTTTCAGATTTTAAACTGACTCACTTCTAAAAGTTGTCTAAAATTGTATGTATGTTTAATCATACTTTTGAGTAGGAAAATTGAAATAACAATTAAATTAATTTAAATTTCTTTACAAGTTTTAGATACATAAGAATTTTATTTGCATTGAAGAGAAATCTTCAAATAATTACTAATAAACTACGTTTTTAAAAATTCAGGTACCTGCCTATGTATAATATGTATGTAAATGACATATTTTTTTATTACAGATTCTACAAATAAGTGACCACAAGATGACGGTATTTCCAAAAAAGCCCGAGAGTAGCGATTATCATAAAAGACAATTAATGCCATCCGACTTTAAAGAAAGTGCAATATCATGAATTTGTGTTACTGTTATTTATTCATTTATTTATTACAAACGAGTCAAAGTTAATACATTTTTTTGCCTTATTATGTTTACTTTTTGTAATATCGTAGTTTCAAAATCAGAATTATGAAGTTCCTTAAAAAAAATTAATCTATACAAAATGTTTATAAGTGTATTTAGTATAATTTGATTTACTGATTATAAAACGTATTGTTAATATTGTTATTAGAAGGTTCTTCAGAAAAATGTTTCTTGTATCTGTATTTTTGTAACACCATAAGGTAACATGGTACGTGTTAAAATATTTCGTTGTTTGTAAATAAATGTTTTCATAAAAAAAAGTCGTAACTTTGTTTCTGTTGCATCACATTGAAATCCACAACTTTTTTTGTTTTTGCCACCTTGTACCACTTTAAAAACATATTTGCTACAATAGTAACTACCCCTAAAATAACGAATTAAATTCTCGTAGAATGTTTATCTAGACCAGTGATTCCCAACCGGTGGTTCGCGAACCTCTGGGGGTTCGCAGTTTTTGCAGAGGGGATTCGCCAAAATAATATTGTAATGGCGGATTTTTTAAAACGCCAATAAAATGCCCGTTTGTTAAGAAATCTATAATAAATTTCAATATTTTCATTTCTTTTTTACTTATTTGTTTTTCAGAATTACTTCATCAATATCAAAATATATCAACAATTTTATACATTAAAATTTATTCCTCTTATAGGTACAAGTAATCAAGTACTGTTTTCTTTTTATTACAAACATTTAAATTCTTGAAGAATCAAAACGTGTTTTACTAAAATGATCCTTCATCTGAAAAGGAAAAAGGATAATATAAAATAATTTTGTGTTCATATCACAAAGAAGTAAGAAAATCTGGGTTTTCATCAAAACCTAGGGATTTCACTAAACTTAATTTCCTTTGGTTTTTGGTTTTGTTTAATTGAAAGATTATTCTGATTTGATGTTTAGGTACTCAAAAAAAATTCTCAGCCGTGTTTTATTAACTTTTAAGAGATAAAGAAGAATACAAACAATTCATGTTCTCTCCTCATTTTTTTGCTTGTCTCCGTTAATATTAAATAAAAATACTGGTATGTAAAGGAAGAAAAAGTAGGGAAAGAGCGAATATAAAGATAGGTGACACAAAATTAGAAGAAGTGGCTAATTTTCGGTATTAAGGAAGTCAGATAAGTCAGGATGGAAGAAGCAGTAGGGATATAAAGCAGAGGATAGCACAGGGTCGAATCGCCTTAAAGTCACAAATTCGAAAAAGATTGTTAAAGGTGTATGGTTGGAGCGCGGCGCTGTACGGGTGCAAAACATACATGATGGGAGGTTAGAAGCGTTCGAAATATGACGTTACAGGCGAATGATGATGATACCGTCAATAGAAAAAGTTAAACATTAAGAAGTATTAGAAAGTAGTATTGGAAGTCAATAATAAATAGACGAGTTATATTGGAAAGACACCCTCTCAGGCATGAAGGGCTAGTCAGAGACATGTTAGAGGCAGAAGCAGGAGTTACGAGAAGTAAAAGTAGACCTACATTAGATTACTGTTCGCAAATAATTAAGGATGTGGGATGTTCTAGTTTTAGGGAATTGCGAAGATTAGCTCAGGATAGGAAAGAGTGGAGGTACGTGTCCAACCAGTCTTAGGACTGATGACCTTATGATGATAACACTACGTTCTAAAGGGCGATGAAGGGGTATATCCTTATATAAATAGGACTCGTAACTTTTCGTTATTTTTTTAGAAGACTTCAAAGTTACAAAATACTAGTTTTTTTTCAAGGGTTTTCTAACTAATACCCTAACATAACGGATGTATTGAAGAAAGTCCTATATAAAGTAGTAGACGATTGGAGAACCTTCAATTTGATTCGTAAAAAGTTCAATTTTGTTGAATAGCCCAAAACTATTGAACATTACTGTTTTTTGCAATTGCAATGTTTATTAATAAAATATNTACAATTGGAAATAAATATCAAATTAAGGCAGTTTACTACATTTACATCATTTTAGTCTTATCAATGTTTTATTTAAATGTTTCACTATTAATATAATCAATTATTCTGCAATATGAAAAAAATATATTCTATCAAATTTTATTGCTTTTTTTACCTGTCATTAACGACTACATAGGGGGTTCATCAAATTTTTTTGTACCTTTCTTTTGGTTCGCGAGGAAAAAAAGGTTGGGAAACACTGATCTAGATCAATGTATTATAAAACAAGTTCGTCACCTTTAAACCCTTAAATACGACATAGAAACAAATGCACGTACAAAATTTTGGGAAAAATCGCCGACACTGACCTTTTCCACACTGACTTAAAGGGACAATTTTTACAAATAAAAGTCTGAAAAATTCCATATTCTTATCCAGACCCATGAAAAATATACAACGATAATTTGGTAGTTTTTTGAAAAGATATACATCTAAGGTAAAGGGTTAACTGGTTTAATATAAAAATTTAATTAAAAAACGGCTCTAAACTTTTTAATTAACTTGTCACCTTCCGATCTACACTCAAATTAAGGGGGTAGGCCGACCTAGAAGCCTGCTTTTAGAAATCGTGCAAAAGGGTAAGTATTGGTTAGAGAAAAGAGATAAGACTAATGAAATTAAGACAGAAGAAAAAAATTATCTACATCTCTAAACCATGTTGTCCGTTACTGTTTTCTTTATTATTCCAAATATGCGAATAAAATACCTTTACCCTCTCCTTATCTTCAAGAATATGAAGTATTAATCCATTTTCATTCGAATCGTTTGACAATGGGAATATTTGTAGAAACAAGTCACAGTAATTACTTGAATAAAGTGATAGAAAACAAAGTAGGTACCTACTTGTAAGTGTTCAATTTATCGATATTGATTTTTTCTCCAAAGACTGTTGAACCACATTCAAACTTTTCTTTATACCTACTTGTCCGATATTTTTTTTATTTAATCATTTATTAGTACTACCAACCATACAAATATTATAATTTTGACCATTTTTGTTTTTAAAACTACGTATTCTTGATATGTTGAAGTGCTGGATTTTTTAATAGCCTGATGAATAATGTGTAAATGAATGTAACTTACAAAGTTTGTAATAGTAACTTTTAGATAATAGCATTACTGCCAAAATACATGTTAGATTAAAATATGAAAAATAAATTACTGAAACATATAGACCAAGTGTTTTTTATTCATCATACTATTATATNTATTCTGCAATATGAAAAAAATATATTCTATCAAATTTTATTGCTTTTTTTACCTGTCATTAACGACTACATAGGGGGTTCATCAAATTTTTTTGTACCTTTCTTTTGGTTCGCGAGGAAAAAAAGGTTGGGAAACACTGATCTAGATCAATGTATTATAAAACAAGTTCGTCACCTTTAAACCCTTAAATACGACATAGAAACAAATGCACGTACAAAATTTTGGGAAAAATCGCCGACACTGACCTTTTCCACACTGACTTAGAGGGACAATTTTTACAAATAAAAGTCTGAAAAATTCCATATTCTTATCCAGACCCATGAAAAATATACAACGATAATTTGGTAGTTTTTTGAAAAGATATACATCTAAGGTAAAGGGTTAACTGGTTTAATATAAAAATTTAATTAAAAAACGGCTCTAAACTTTTTAATAACTTGTCACCTTCCGATCTACACTCAAATTAAGGGGGTAGGCCGACCTAGAAGCCTGCTTTTAGAAATCGTGCAAAAGGGTAAGTATTGGTTAGAGAAAAGAGATAAGACTAATGAAATTAAGACAGAAGAAAAAAATTATCTACATCTCTAAACCATGTTGTCCGTTACTGTTTTCTTTATTATTCCAAATATGCGAATAAAATACCTTTACCCTCTCCTTATCTTCAAGAATATGAAGTATTAATCCATTTTCATTCGAATCGTTTGACAATGGGAATATTTGTAGAAACAAGTCACAGTAATTACTTGAATAAAGTGATAGAAAACAAAGTAGGTACCTACTTGTAAGTGTTCAATTTATCGATATTGATTTTTTCTCCAAAGACTGTTGAACCACATTCAAACTTTTCTTTATACCTACTTGTCCGATATTTTTTTTATTTAATCATTTATTAGTACTACCAACCATACAAATATTATAATTTTGACCATTTTTGTTTTTAAAACTACGTATTCTTGATATGTTGAAGTGCTGGATTTTTTAATAGCCTGATGAATAATGTGTAAATGAATGTAACTTACAAAGTTTGTAATAGTAACTTTTAGATAATAGCATTACTGCCAAAATACATGTTAGATTAAAATATGAAAAATAAATTACTGAAACATATAGACCAAGTGTTTTTTATTCATCATACTATTATATATTTCTAAAACACTTCTACAAGAAATAAAGTTCTGCTAATTAAACTTTCTAATAAAGTAATTGTTTATTTTTAAAACTTCGGAAAGATGTTTTAGAGTATTACAATAAAAACGCTAAATGATATTAGCCGCTTATTAAATTCAATTCAAAACTTCCAGTAACTTTTGAGTATTTATGTAGTAATGAATAACGCTGTTTTCAGTTTAAGAAAAAGTCGCAACAGCATTGGAATGATCGCATACATGCGTCTGCACCGCATATTATCAATTAATCATTAGCATAACTTGGACCCACTTCTAAGGAACTCTAAACTCTCTAATACTAAACCCTAGTTAATTTTAAAAACAAATTCTATCTACGTATGGATGTATTATAAATGAAATTAACCAACCTGTTATATTGGAGCTGTTCACACAACCAACGGAAACACAAAGTCTTATCACACATGCATGCCCGAAAAAGTTCTTTACTTAACTGGAACTAAAGAATAGAGTCTGCATCAGTCACATACTTCTCCCCTCCCTTGATAAGAGAAGCTTTAGTGTTAGGTGAAAGTTGTAAACGAATGACCCTTTACCTAATACAAGGTTAAATTCTAATACTATCGTTATTTTTATCGACACATTGTTTGTCTCGCAATAAAAACTTTATCTCGCATACCTTTTACTTGATATTTAGCTAGGGATATGTCTTTGCGCTGTTATTTTCTACAATAATTCATTTATTATAAAGGCCTGTATTATGTACACTTCTACTGTCACATCATTATGTAGTGTGTTTATTATAATGCAAAAATATTTATTATTGTAGAGTTAAAATATTTCGTTGTTTGTAAATAAATGTTTTCATAAAAAAAAGTCGTAACTTTGTTTCTGTTGCATCACATTGAAATCCACAACTTTTTTTGTTTTTGCCACCTTGTACCACTTTAAAAACATATTTGCTACAATAGTAACTANTTAATTAAATAATATATAATCGTGACAGGGGACCAATGACTACACATAAAAAACATCCCTGTAATTTTAGTAATCACGATGAACTTTTTCAATGGTTTTGATTTTTCTCAGCATATGTACACTATTTTACTCTCCCCCTTCCCTTTTAAAATGCATTCATAGAATTCGAGCAAAGGATTATTTCTTAAGAATTTTTTTACTTCCTGTTGATTGGTAAAGTCGTTCTCGAAATATTGGTACACAAAAGTGTACACGGGTTTTTGCATGGAGGCAGAAAAATTTATTACAATTATTTCAAAGATTAGCAGCATTGAAAATGTACATTTTTCGTATATAGTAGCGCTAATAACATTTTACTTAATTAATAATCGTAACATTTGTTATCTACTGCCAGTCTAATTATTCGCGCAGAATAACTGTTTTACCTCCTCGGGGCTAATTGCCATCAGAACTTACAACACAGATTATTGAATTTAACTAAATAAAATTTAAGAAATAAACTAAAAATTAAATTGGAAATTTGTTATTGCTGAATTGTTTTTATTTTTATAATCTAGCCACAAGCATGATTTTCCTGGTATAATTTGAGTATATTGAACAAATATCTTCATATCGTGTGTATTATCAGCCTTTTTTGTTACTATCATTGTTGCTATTATTTTATTAGTGTATTTTTATTTGTCGTATGTGCGGCGCCATGCAAGCTATCCGTAATTTTAGCTGTACCTGTGAGATATACAAACACTATCCTTTGTAAATTGTTAAGTACATACATTATTTTATGTTAGTCAACGCACAAATTAGAACACTTATCACTCATATTCTTACAGGTTAATATTTATGTAATAAAAAAGGCATAAACATCTTATTCTACCAATTTATTTTTTTCAAATGCAGTTTGCTTAATTAAAAGTTAGAATAACATCAGTTCAAATTATTTTCTAATATCCATACATTTTTGCGCTTTCCAATACTATGCTAAGAAAAAGACGTACGTTATTCTGCAATGTTTCATTATTTATTAATAAAATAGTAGAAAACATGTTGCAGCATTAAAATGTAATGTATTAACACATGCATCATTACACTGAATAGTACAAAACAATATAAAATAATGATATGAGCACATTGGAAAACAAAATAACACCTGTTTTCTGTCGGTTTTTAAACCAATTTGATAATTCAAAAATATGCAGAAATAAAGAAAAAACTAACTAATTCACTTATAGTAAGAAAGCAAATATAATATTGTTATGGACACTTACTAACTTATGATTTAACTTTCGTCTGGTGAATGCCACGCAAGACGTTCTTCATAGAACTGGATCACCACTTGAGGACATAAGACATTTGCCTTTTTTGCTGGAACCAAGTCAGCATCATCAGTTCCCTTCCACTTCATTAAAAACATAAGTTCTCCTGTCGTATCGGAGGCGCCAATAATTTTTTCAGCCTGTAATCCTCTATCAAAACCATTTTTTGCTTCAGGTTCTGGAGCAGCAGCTTTCGCCTTTTTTCCAGCTCTACTTCTTGGCTTTCCCTTTGCCGGTGTTTCATCATCAGAATTCTTTGCCTTCTTTTTGAGAGAAGATTCATGGTCAGAGTCATCTGATACTTTTGCACTCTTGGATGGCCTTTTAGTTGTATCCTCTTCAGAGTCAGAAGCAGTTTTTGATTTTTTTACAGGTTTATCTATGGCTTTCTTCTTTCTGTCGTTCTTTTTTACTTCCTCAGATTCAGATTCAACGTCCTTATTTTTTTCTTTTTCATCATCTGATTCGTCAGAATCGGAATCGTTTTTTCCTTTTTTATTTCTTTTCTTTTCTGTTTTTTTGGTCTCCTTGTCTGAATTATCGGAAGCTGAATCATCAGCTTTTGTTTTTTTTGAAGCTTTTTTCTTTTCCTTTTTCTTTGAATCTATTTCAGACTTATCGGTCTCTTCAGATGATGATCTTCTCCTTTTCTTCTTTTCTTTCACTTTTACATCTGAACCATCAGATTTTTCGGAATCAGTCGAATTTTTACGAGCTCGAGCAGATTTCTGGAAAGAAAAATAATAACTAAACACTACAGATTCATAAAAAAATATCTTTTGTACTTATTCAATATTGAAAAATTATTTTTAATTTGTAGTGCTTCAGGGTTTTTACCAGTTACTTTCATTTATTATAATTTATAAATCTACAGGGTTTTCTCCCGTTTGCAATTTTAGATAAAAGAAATATTAATGGTGGCTGAGCTATAAGCAGCCACAGAATACTTATTATTATTATTTTAATTTTAATTAATTACTATGTGCAGATTACCTAGTCACATAAAGTCCAAACAGGGTTTGAGGTTTTACATTGAAATGAATAATTTTTATGTAACCTAAACATGGGTCCAACTACATTTCATGAATGACAAATGCAAGATACAAGGAATTCATACCCCAATCGTTCAGCCTAATTAAATTAATGTAAAATGTTTACTTCAGCTGTGTGTACTAATAAATCAGTTTCCTTCTTTAAGAAAATATTACCTTTTTCTTTTCAATTTCAGATGCATCAGATGCCATAGACGAAGTAGAGTTTTTTCTGGCTCTTTTTCTATCTTTTGGTGCAGTCTTTGCTGCAGCTTTCTTTTCTCTTCGATTTCTTTCAAACTCTTCAATAAGATCAGGGCAGTCCAAGTTATCTTCCGGCTCCCACGTGTTATCTGCATCAGAATAATTCTTCCATTTCAAAAAATATTCGACTTTCCCATTTACTACCCTCTTGTCAATAATTTTTTCCACTGAATATTCTTCTTCAGATTCACTTTCATTTTCAACAACATCCTTCTTCTTACCCATCTGTTGAGAAAGAATAATGACAAAATCAATTAAAACTTTACAATTTGACTAATAATACACTGTTGAAATTACCAGCCCAAAGTATCTCTTAATAAACTTTTTATAATAAATATAATACCATAACTCATGAGACCACACATCATTCACTGACTAAAAGCAAAGCACAGGCTATGTATGGAAGATATTATACACTTACAAGGTGCAAGATGAGATGGTGAACAGTTCTGGAATCAGAGCCAGCATTAGGATTGTAAAAGCTTATTGATTATAAAAACACAACTACTTTTTTTCATTAAACATTTGCAACCGTAACACTGCTGATTCTATACCTGAAAAATCAGTTTAGGAAAGAAATGGAAACTATAAAAGATATTGAAGTTTCACCCTTTGTATGCATTTGTACCTCAGCTTCAGAAAACAGTAGCTTAGCATTGTAAGTGTGATCCAAATAATGACTTCATCTGTGAATGAAGTGTAATCTCTACTCATAGTTTTAAATTACTTTACAAAGATTTTTTTTAAGCATAGTGGGTAGGCAATAGTAGTACCTGTATATTTGGAAATAGGCCCACTACCCACTGTTAGTAAAAAAAATCATGCAGTATATTGAAAAATTATTGTAATTTTAACTGTTTATTTCCCAATACCAACATATCAAAAACCTGCTTCTCAAAGCAAGTAGCTACTGTATATTAAAATATAATGCTTATTCTATAATAGTACATACTTTTATTTCCTTATAAACTGAAAGAACTCTACAACGTAAACTAGATTTCAGATAAAACAAAATGTCTACTGATAAATTTAGCTAAACAAACGTCCAGCCATTCATTAATTTCTCGTTTTTTTTTTTTATTTATTGATTAATACTATTCCTATTGATGTAAGAATATTGTATAAAATTAACAGCCACATTACATTATTTGCATATAGTATAAAACAGCAAAATTATTGTGTAAGGAAATTAAGCCATTCTCAGAAGACAAAAAATTCATTTGCACAAGAAGTTCTTCCAATATTCAAAATAAAAACATACCTTGCTGATGTAGTTCGTAACTAGTCACGTAATTTGTATAATGAATTATTTAAATGGCTTTTTCTTAAAAAGAAAATGTAAAATATTTACAGGACGCCGACTAACCGCGAACTTTTTCTTCTACACTTCTATCTTCTATTCTAGTAATCTAGACTGTCTAGTACGAACCGGGAAATTACCAAACATCGAATTTTACTCCTTCATCGAACCTTAATTTCTCCAAAGTATGTTATATTATTATAGCATATTTTCAATTAAAAGTTATTACTTTTTAAGTTTTATTTATTTATATGCAGAATTATTTGCTTAATTTTATAACAATAATTTCTGCTACATGTTAAAATATTAATCGATTCCAGACAAACCGCTGTATGCGAAATGGCAATTCGAAGAAACTACCTTATTATATTCGACTTTCAGAAAATAAGTAGAATAAATTAACCACACTTAATACAGAACAACAAACTATTTTCTCTTATGTAGAAACATAAACTAATTTCATAAAATAAAGTTTTAATTAAAAAATACTTACTTTAAAAAAAAATATCTAACGATAATGAGCAATAGCCAAGCACAATCCCAATCAACCATGGATAAAACACAGCTACTTTCCAATGTTTTGAGAATTTTGAAGATGTATAACTTAAAAGTAAGTAAAAAAAAATAATTTCCGTATTTTTAAATGTGTATATAATGTGCTAGGAAACAGAAGAACTGTTAAAACAAGAAGCAAAAATAACAGATGATATAAGCAACAGCTCTCAAGAATCTGGTGTAAACAGTGTATTAACAGGTTACAAAAGCGATGGTGATCCAGAAACTTATGAAGAATCGTATCTGGAACTTAAGAAATTCGTTGAAGTCTCACTTGATATCTATAAACATGAATTAAGTACAATACTTTATCCAGTACTAGTGCATATGTATTTAGAGCTTGTTTACAATGGTCACACAGAAAAAGCAATGAATCTTATGAAGAGGTTTGGTCCTGAGCAAGACTTTTATTATCAAGAAGATCTTAGAAAGTTAGCTTTAGTTATTAAAAAAGAACATATGAATGGTAACGAATTAATTGACACATTTAAATCCAATCAGTTTATTATCAGAATGTCTCGTGACACATATTCATTATTGAAGAGGCATTTGCAGGACAAAAAAGCTACAGTTTTATTAAACATTATACATGAACATTTGTACTTTGATATGTATGAAGGAGTTGCAAGAAATAAAAGTCAAATTGACTCTACATCAGGTTCAGTTATAGGGGAAGCCACAAGACAAGGTATTTAAATATTACTAGTTATATTTACTTTTCTAAAAGATGTAGTTAATTATGTGTGCTATTCTTTTAGACAATAAGGTAAAAGTTTACTATGGTATTCCAAAAGTACCAGATATTCAAACTTTAGCAGCACCTGTTGAAGATGAAGAAGAAGGTACAGAACAAGATGCACCAGATAAACCAAAAAAGAAAAAGGCAAAAAAAGATCCACTTTTCTCTAAAAAGACCAAGTGTGATCCAAATGCTCCTTCTTTAGATCGAATACCTTTTCCTGAATTGTAAGTGTATTGTTTTAATAAATTCAAATAAAAAAATGCTAACTCTAGAAAGGTGTTATTTTCCTGTTTTCTTATTAGAAAAGACAACGACAAATTGGAAAAGCTACGAGCGTTTAGGGAAGCTACAAAAAGAGTCACCTTGGGATCAGAAACATTACCTTCTATTTGTTGCTACACATTACTTAATGCAAATCACACGTAAGACTATATTATTTCAATGAAAATTCTATTTTAGTAATTTGAACCACTTTCAGAGTCACTTGTGCAGAAATAACCGAAGATTCTAGCATGCTGGCAGTTGGTTTTAGTGATTCAGTTGTAAAAGTGTGGACACTGGTGCCACAAAAATTAAAAGCCATGAAAAATGCAGAACAACTTCAGGAGATCAACATTGAAGCTGAAGATGTATTTGTAAGTTTTTATAAATCTATAGCAAAGAAAATGAAGAAATGCAGTAAACAAGTACATATTTTCATGGCATAGGTAAGGATGATGGATGAGCGTTCAGGGAAAACATCGCGTTCCCTTTTTGGACATAGTGGTTCTGTTTATTCAGTTTCTTTTTCGCCAGATCGCACGTTACTCTTAAGTTGTGCTGAAGATGGCACAATTCGCCTATGGAGTCTTCAAATTTGGAGATGTCTTGTAGTTTATAAAGGACATATGTATCCCGTATGGGATGTGAAATTTTCTCCTCACGGTTATTACTTTGCATCCGCATCGCACGATCGAACCGCTCGATTGTGGGCTACGGACCACTACCAACCCTTAAGAGTCTTTGCAGGACATTTCTCGGATGTTGATGTAAGTAAAAATATACAATTTGAGAATTTATAAAATGCATATCCCATTGTGTGTCAATACACAAAATCAGATTATTAGGTAAATTATTTTTCAGTTCTGTTTTATTTCCTTATATTACCTTATATGGGATGGTCGTTAAAAAGTAAAACACAAAACTAAAACTTCTGAAATTATAAAAAGTTATAGGTATATGTAATCATTTTTAAATTTCCAGTGTATTCAATTTCATCCCAATTCAAACTACATTGCAACGGGTTCGAGCGATCGACGAGTTTGCTTATGGGATTGTTTAACCGGGAATCATGTGCGATTGATGACGGGGCACAAATCTCCTATTTATTCTTTGGCATTTAGCGTTTGCGGTCGATTTTTGGCATCAGCGGGTTCAGATTGTAAAATATTAATTTGGGACCTTGCTCATGGTCATTTAGTAGCAGAGTTAACTGGTCATGACAAACCAATCCACACGCTCACATTTAGCAGATGCGGAAATCTCCTTGCCTCTGGTTCAGTAGATTGTAAACTCAAACTATGGGACTTTACTAAACTGGCCGAGGATACGAGTTCAGAGGATGTAAATGTTTCCCACAATCCTGATGTAAAATCGGGAGACACTTATATGTTAAGAAGTTTTGCGACTAAGAATTCTCCTTTGATACATTTACATTTTACAAGACGAAATTTGTTGTTAGCAGTTGCGACATTTGATGGCTCTAATCCTTAGATTTTTTTCATTTGGTTTTTCAACTTCTTAAGTATATTTTTATATATTTAAAGTTAATCGATTATTAATTTTACCACGCTGAATTGTTAAGTTATATGTAAAATAAAATAATCATTTAGGATATAAATTATTCTCTGCAAGAAAAGCTTTCTCTTCTCAATTAAAACTTTCGATCTTCTTTTATTTTTTTAAATACTTGATGATCTATACAATAAATAGTATATAATTTAATGACTATTTACAAATAAAGTTTTAGAAAAAAAGAGTAACTGTTTTTTTATTGATTATAGATTTTATCCCATATTTTTTAGAAATTAAAACAAAAAATACATGTTATATTTAACAGTTTTTAAGCACTTAGTTAAAGTGTTTATAGTAGTAAACTCTTTGCCATTAACATTCCAATTTCTATAAAAAGCCTTTTTTCAGTCTAAAAAAAGTTGCATACCTTATACGATGTTTTAAAACCTGAGATCCTGTTAGATTATGAGTTGGGGCTCTTTTCATTTTCTGCACTCGTTTCAGCCAGATTTGAACTTCCATGTTTATTTGTGGTGATCACTGTTGTACTATCAGATGCTTCTGTAATGTCTGGCTGTTGATTGTGCTTTATTGAAGGCGGTTTTTCCTCTTTGCTTTTGTGTTCTTGATGTAAACATTCTTCTGAAGTTATATGTTTTTGTTTTTTCTCTTTTGATTTATCTTCTGCATCTACTTTCTTCGATTGTAAATGACTTTTACAGGTTTTTGAATGTTGCACCTGTAAAAAATACTTTTTACCTTACCTTATATATTCACTTTTTTATAAAAACACTTCCTGACAGAGTGAAAAATAATAAATAACTAAAATGGAGTTAATTTTGCATTTATGATGTAGTGTGTTTTTAAATGAAAAGCATCCAATAATTAAAATACAAACTTTATTTTTTGCACTATTCTATTTATATTATATGGTGGCATAGAAAACAGAGTGATCCCACTATTGGTGTTAGAATATTACAAAGAAGTATGAATAGGCAAAACTAAAAATATATTATCACACAGCCGTCTAGTTCTAGACAAATGTTCTACAGCATGTCAGTCAGCATCCATTCGATATGATTCCTCAATATCTTCTTGAACTGATGTCTAAAAAATGTGTGTGTACTTTAACTGACACACCCTTATTAATTGCTGTTACTTTATATTAGATGGTTATAATTAATATTATTTTTTCTAGTTTTCCAAACCTGTATTACTAAAGAAAGCCTGACACTCACAATCAATGCAATGTAACTCAAAAATATTTTTAACTATAAAATTAACTTTGAACGATTTTTACCTTTCTTTTATCTGCTTCTGTTGATATATCTGCAACAACAGAAGTTGTACAGTTTGTGACTGCTTTTTTCTTGTCCTTTGTATCACTTTTTGATGACTTCTTTTCTTTTGATGATTTTTCAAAGGAGTCCATTATGACTGGGCATTCCAAGTTCCTTTTCACTACTTTAGAGTCTACCTTAGTACATTTCCACTTTAAAAAATACCTTACTTCTCCATTAACAGCGCGCCTCTCTACAATTTTGTCCAGAGAGTAGTCTTCATCTGAATCAGTTTCGACTTCCATAGGTTCTCTCAGTATACCCATTGTGCTGCAACATTTTGGCAAATAAAGATACACTTCTACATTAAATTAAACTAAAACTATTAACAAACCTACGTACCTGTTTATTGTTTGCGTTATTCCAAATGATTTAAATGATGCGGAACTACAGTACTATTTCATACACATAACCACAAAATGCTAAAATCGAAACAGGAGTTTCTATTTTACTTTTGCAGACATTTTACTAATTACAGTACACAATTAGAAAACAGCAATAAAAACTGAACATAAACAGTTATCTTATTAATTAGGTTTTATATTTACTTGTAACAATAACAAAAATAATTGACGTGAAGCATAGATAGCAGAAATAACTGTGGATGCGAAGCATTACCATGAAGTATCTATGGTCTACAAAACATAATTCCATGAGATGTTTTCATACAATTGAATCCATGTTACTCATTGCATTCTATACATCTACATATATTATTCAATTGTAAATAATCTTTCTCAATGTATTGTACTATAAATTATTAAAACCTAGTATTAGTTCGAATATCGAAATCTTTATTAAAAATTAACATGTTTTTGCAAAATGAAAAAGGGCTTTAAGCCTTTTTNNNNTTTTCAACTGAATAAAATGCTTCCTAAAAAGGAAGATATATATATATATATGTATTATGTACAGTCATTAACCACATAACAAATTACAATTGCAATGATGAATTACTTCATAATCTAATGTAGGTACTACTTAAAAGAAAAAAAATATACTAAACATTTTCCAAACTTTGTGGTTTATGCACCAAAAATAATTATTTCCATTTTTTTAGTTCATAATAATATCTTCTCTTGCATTGACGTTACTTTACCTACTGATCATTTTCAGCCACCTTTGGGTCATTGTCGATCTCTTGATTACTACTGGTTATTGTCTGTTCTCCTTCGCCCTGATCTTGTTCCGTTTCTCCAGACTCTTCACTATTGTCAGGTTTCGAGGTTTTATCTTCCTCTTCATCTGTGTTCTTTTCGTCGCTTTTTGCATTTGCTTCAACTGTTTCCATCAATGCGTCCATGGGCTTTTCGTCAATCGACGTTTTACTACTGTTTTTGGTGAGTTCACTTTCAACAGTTTCATCAACTTCTTCAGATATTTTTTCTTCTACGAGGTTTTCTGTTGATTCATTTCGAATATCTTTAGTGTTCTCAGCCAATGCTTCTTCTGAATCTTTATCAATCTTATCCTCCTGTTTTGACATTTCTTCGGAATCGTTACCAGTTTCTTTCCTTTGGGATGTATTTTCTGAGTCAACTTCCATTGGTTGATCGTTGGCCACTTCGTTATTCTCTTCTTCATTTTTTGTGGAATCATTTTCGTTTATACTCTCTTTTGTCTCTTCTTCTTCTTCTTCTTCTTTCGACACTTTTCTTTTCCTTAAAACAGATTTGGAATTTTCCAACGAGTCGTCATCATCCAAATCAATCACTTCAGCCGTCGACTTGCTATCCACTTTTAATGAACTTCGTTCTTCAGGTCTCCTCATTAATCCCAAAACGTCGAGCATACTGTGAGTAACAGCAGCAGTTTTTGCAGCTTCCTCTGATGGGTAGGCTGATTTCCTTTCGCATTCAGCTAAATGTTTCGCTAGCATATTGCCTGCAAAAAGTAGGTTAGTAATGATAATTAATTTATTTGTTCGAAAAAGTTTATTACCTTCATCACTTTTGTAACCACATATGCAGTACATTGTGAAAGGTAACGAGTGAACTGGCAATGAAGACTTTAGATCTTTACAAATGTCTTTATGTAATTTCACTGCAAACTGACAACACGTTGTGTATTCGCAACCAGAACACGTTTCTGCGGTCCTGTAAAAATTATTATAGAAATGAAATATTACACAATTAACCTACATTCGCATAATAAATGTCATTTTCTACATAATTAATTTTAAATAGTCTAATAAAATTATCGTATAACTTACTTATAATGTTGCCGAGCTGTTACGAAGTTTTTGCATTCATTGCATCGAAGGACATTAGGCGCGTTTACTGTCAAATTACTCAGATTTAGTTCGACGTCTTGTTCCCAGGCATGCCGGTCCTGTTTTGACTTAGGTACCATAAGAGCGTTTCGTGACGACGTAACCGGCACGAGACCAGGTTTGCGACGCAAAGATGAGTGCATCTTCAACTGATGATCTTTGAGCGTCTCCTTCTGTATGAACCACAGCGCGCATTTGTTGCATTTTTTCGCCAAAGCTTTTTTTTGGTGTTTCTGCAAATGCTGCATGAAGTAGTTGAGGTTTTGGGGTAGTACGCGACCGCCTGACCATACAGTTGTCGATTTCAAACAGAATGGGCACTGGATAGTAGATCCATTTTCATGATATGAATAAAAGTGATCGATAGCAGTACGATGACAAGATGAACGGAAACCGCACGTACCGCATTGATAAGGCAATTCAGCGGGCACGTGTTCTTTCGACATGTGTTTGCCGAGAGCGAACGAATTGGCGAATCGTTGTTCACATATAAGACATACGTAACCTTCGCCGAACTTGGTCTCGTATGGATGTGACGTTAATATGTGTTTAGTGAGCCCTTCTTGCGTAGCGACGCTCGACAAGCAATAACGACACTGTTGCACGTTACCGACGACGCTATGCGCGTGGGAAAATAGATGGCTCATTAGTTTTAGGTTGTTGCCGAAGTATGAACGACACATCGAACATTTCACTAACCATGTGCCCTTGGCCTCACTGTTATTACCGTTCATTGTCCCGTAATAATAATTCTCGAGCGGTACCAGTTGCTCTGGTACGTCTGGGGACAGCGTACGTGGAGGTTTATTAGGTTCAGACGCGTTAGTGATAACAGACGGTGAAGTAACTGCTGAAGTGATCAATTTTGGCACAACCGGTGTGACAGTGGCGGTAGTAGGAGCTGGAGATGTAGGCTGTTGGCGGCCTCTTTGTCGAGAACGTTTCGCTGTCGAAATCGGTGTTGGTGCTGGTTCGACCGTTTTTGCAGGCGCACTTGACACTAAAGTATTTACGATGCTCCAGTTCTTAAACGGATTTACAGCAACCTTATTTAATCTTATGATAAGAGCTTGTCCTNATATATATATATATATGTATTATGTACAGTCATTAACCACATAACAAATTACAATTGCAATGATGAATTACTTCATAATCTAATGTAGGTACTACTTAAAAGAAAAAAAATATACTAAACATTTTCCAAACTTTGTGGTTTATGCACCAATAATAATTATTTCCATTTTTTTAGTTCATAATAATATCTTCTCTTGCATTGACGTTACTTTACCTACTGATCATTTTCAGCCACCTTTGGGTCATTGTCGATCTCTTGATTACTACTGGTTATTGTCTGTTCTCCTTCTCCCTGATCTTGTTCCGTTTCTCCAGACTCTTCACTATTGTCAGGTTTCGAGGTTTTATCTTCCTCTTCATCTGTGTTCTTTTCGTCGCTTTTTGCATTTGCTTCAACTGTTTCCATCAATGCTTCACCTGTTTCTTCTTTATCATGAGAATTTTTCTCTTCATCTACGTCCATGGGCTTTTCGTCAATCGACGTTTTACTACTGTTTTTGGTGAGTTCACTTTCAACAGTTTCATCAACTTCTTCAGATATTTTTTCTTCTACGAGGTTTTCTGTTGATTCATTTCGAATATCTTTAGTGTTCTCAGCCAATGCTTCTTCTGAATCTTTATCAATCTTATCCTCCTGTTTTGACATTTCTTCGGAATCGTTACCAGTTTCTTTCCTTTGGGATGTATTTTCTGAGTCAACTTCCATTGGTTGATCGTTGGCCACTTCGTTATTCTCTTCTTCATTTTTTGTGGAATCATTTTCGTTTATACTCTCTTTTGTCTCTTCTTCTTCTTCTTCTTCTTTCGACACTTTTCTTTTCCTTAAAACAGATTTGGAATTTTCCAACGAGTCGTCATCATCCAAATCAATCACTTCAGCCGTCGACTTGCTATCCACTTTTAATGAACTTCGTTCTTCAGGTCTCCTCATTAATCCCAAAACGTCGAGCATACTGTGAGTAACAGCAGCAGTTTTTGCAGCTTCCTCTGATGGGTAGGCTGATTTCCTTTCGCATTCAGCTAAATGTTTCGCTAGCATATTGCCTGCAAAAAGTAGGTTAGTAATGATAATTAATTTATTTGTTCGAAAAAGTTTATTACCTTCATCACTTTTGTAACCACATATGCAGTACATTGTGAAAGGTAACGAGTGAACTGGCAATGAAGACTTTAGATCTTTACAAATGTCTTTATGTAATTTCACTGCAAACTGACAACACGTTGTGTATTCGCAACCAGAACACGTTTCTGCGGTCCTGTAAAAATTATTATAGAAATGAAATATTACACAATTAACATACATTCGCATAATAAATGTCATTTTCTACATAATTAATTTTAAATAGTCTAATAAAATTATCGTATAACTTACTTATAATGTTGCCGAGCTGTTACGAAGTTTTTGCATTCATTGCATCGAAGGACATTAGGCGCGTTTACTGTCAAATTACTCAGATTTAGTTCGACGTCTTGTTCCCAGGCATGCCGGTCCTGTTTTGACTTAGGTACCATAAGAGCGTTTCGTGACGACGTAACCGGCACGAGACCAGGTTTGCGACGCAAAGATGAGTGCATCTTCAACTGATGATCTTTGAGCGTCTCCTTCTGTATGAACCACAGCGCGCATTTGTTGCATTTTTTCGCCAAAGCTTTTTTTTGGTGTTTCTGCAAATGCTGCATGAAGTAGTTGAGGTTTTGGGGTAGTACGCGACCGCCTGACCATACAGTTGTCGATTTCAAACAGAATGGGCACTGGATAGTAGATCCATTTTCATGATATGAATAAAAGTGATCGATAGCAGTACGATGACAAGATGAACGGAAACCGCACGTACCGCATTGATAAGGCAATTCAGCGGGCACGTGTTCTTTCGACATGTGTTTGCCGAGAGCGAACGAATTGGCGAATCGTTGTTCACATATAAGACATACGTAACCTTCGCCGAACTTGGTCTCGTATGGATGTGACGTTAATATGTGTTTAGTGAGCCCTTCTTGCGTAGCGACGCTCGACAAGCAATAACGACACTGTTGCACGTTACCGACGACGCTATGCGCGTGGGAAAATAGATGGCTCATTAGTTTTAGGTTGTTGCCGAAGTATGAACGACACATCGAACATTTCACTAACCATGTGCCCTTGGCCTCACTGTTATTACCGTTCATTGTCCCGTAATAATAATTCTCGAGCGGTACCAGTTGCTCTGGTACGTCTGGGGACAGGGTACGTGGAGGTTTATTAGGTTCAGACGCGTTAGTGATAACAGACGGTGAAGTAACTGCTGAAGTGATCAATTTTGGCACAACCGGTGTGACAGTGGCGGTAGTAGGAGCTGGAGATGTAGGCTGTTGGCGGCCTCTTTGTCGAGAACGTTTCGCTGTCGAAATCGGTGTTGGTGCTGGTTCGACCGTTTTTGCAGGCGCACTTGACACTAAAGTATTTACGATGCTCCAGTTCTTAAACGGATTTACAGCAACCTTATTTAATCTTATGATAAGAGCTTGTCCTACCAAATAAGAAGAGAAAAAAATAACTTAATCGACCAAGTAACATTACAAAGAAATACAAAGAAACGATAAAAAATGTAGAAAATAATCTCAAAGATTATAATTAACTTTATTGCTACTAATATTAACATTTGTGTTATACTCCACCAATGTAAAGTGTAATATTTCTTAAAAAATACATACTTAATATTTATGAAGTATTAGTTGCAAGGTACCGATCAAATATTTAATAATCATTACAGCGGTGGGGTTTACTTAAAAAAAAAAAGATCAAATACTGACCTGTATCGGCACGAGTTTGTTCGGATAAGTGCATGACGAGGCTATCAAAAGCTTGAGATGGTGTCGGTCCAAACCATTCTCTCCACACCAATTCGTCCAAAAATTGTTGAATTATTTGTCTTGATAAGAGAGACAATGTATTCTGGAACATCCTAGGTACGATCCTTCTCAGATACTCCATGATTGCATGATTTGATGCACCTAAATCGGACGACGTAGACTGTTGTACATGTGCAAAACCCATCTGGTGCAATGTGCTCTTATCTACCGTTAGATCTGTTACAATTACACTTTCAGGATGTACCCACTGCACCAGGGGTGCCAGGATTTTAGAGAAACGTTTTTTATAATTACGATCACCCTCTGCTAACGGTTCAACAGACCACAGTCGAATCAGTTTTTGTTCAGGTTCAAGTAGACCCAACACCTCCACTTTTACTTGACGTTGCTGGCCATCTTGTGATGTGGTACCCAATGAGATAACACCCACTTCAACTCGTTTTCCTGGACCGCCTAATGGTACCAAATGCGTGTGTAATGCTACGGTACAAACCGCTCTCAAACACGTGTACATTCCCTTTACGTACAAATTGTCCACCTTCACCTAATAAAAAGAAGATGTATTAAGGTTAGTACGCTTTTAAATAAAATAGTACACCTAAGAAAACATCATAGTAAGATTAGTAAAGAACAATAAAATCAAATATAAATTATAGTCTTACCCACTGAACGACATTTTGAACATTAGTTTGACATGCCCAATGGTATATAAGTTTCAAAATTACACTAGGTGGATGAGGAGATCCTTCAAATAACGATCCACTAAATACCGATACGAACCTCTGAGGACAGCATTCAGATATCCAAACGTAGCCTCCAGAATACGGAAACTTAGATACATCACTGTACATGCCCAACTTTAATTTTGAGTTTGGATGTACGCTACAACTCTGCTCAGACCGAACAAGGCCTTGTTGTATCAACCTGAAAGATAAACATGAAAATCTTGTTCTTGCGATTGCAACAAAAATGCTTCTTCTCATCAATGATACGAATGATCAAAAGCAAATTATTTCTTTATATTCAATACTTACCATTCAGTAAACTTTGTGTGAACATGCATGAGTACTGTTTTGACTTTGGCGTCCAGTTTCGATCTGTCTGCGTTACCAGTCTCTTTAACTCGTAAATGGGGTCTAGCTACGACCACGAGAGAAGGAAAAGTCTTGCCTTGTAATTTATTGAATGAAATTTCGCGCGAATCAGCCGCCGGCCGGCCATCATCTGACGTCAAGTCGACAACACCACTAGTGGCGGAACTTCTACCAAACCCTCCACCAGCACTCAATCCCCCAACTGCTGTCGTCTCCGCTGGTCTTGTTTGCATTACCACTGGTGACTGTTGTTGGGATTGCTAAAACACTTTTAAAATCAATATATTTAAATAATAAAATTAGGCGGTTTTTTACCTTTGTGCTGCCCTGTTTTTGAACAGTTGTTGATTTTGGTGGAGTGGTTTTCTGGACCACAGGCGAGGGAGGTGGTGCTGCAAGTTTACCACGTCTGCTTCGCGTTTGCCTCGTGNAAAAATATATAGTATAAAATGCCTTTTTGCAGGGATAGAAGCTATCACAATACTATACTAATACACAGAACTATAAATAATAATTTCCGAACATTCCAGAACATTCCCGATTCTTCCGCTTCATTCTAGGTAATTCTACTTGAGGATAATTCTAGAGAACTTCCATTTTATTCAATAGCATTTCACTCTATAAAATAGAATTATATGCATTTGCAGTTTTATTGTATTTATAAGTAGAAATGATGGGGAGGGGGGGGGCAACTTTGAAAGTAAACATGTTATTATTGATGGGTAAAGATCCTAAATCATTTCAGTTACAGTTTAGGTGATCTATCGATCAAATAATTAAAAAGATGTATATATAAAATTATTTCGTTTCTGTTTTTGAGTCATCAATCTTCGTTCGTATGCTAATACTTCAACTTTCGAATAATACTAACATTGCCACTTACGCATTACTTGTATGGAGGTGTATTGTAATAATATTCTTCAGGTAATTCCATATTGTTTTTTTAACGTTACTATATACATCTTTGGAGGATTTTGGTGCATATATATGGACGCGATAAGATGCGTCGCGACGCAATTGGAAAAGGATTTTAGACGAAGTTTACGCAACATAGGACCGTCATATATTCCCGCCGAATTAAAAATACTTTACATGTCTCTCAACGAACTACTTCAGGATTTTAGTAGCGCATTATCGTATTCCTTAATATTTTTATTCTTGTTTCTATTCGTAACTGTTATTTTAAGTATTTACGGCCTGGTATCTCAATTATCCCAAGGAATAACATGGAAAGACGTACCTCACGCTGTTACGGCAATAATGGCACTTGCTGTCCTGTATATCTCGTGCGAAGCGGCAGAAAAAACAACAACAAGCGTAAGCATTCAAATTTCAAAAAAAGAAAAAATCGTTTTATTTAAATAATAAAATTAGGCGGTTTTTTACCTTTGTGCTGCCCTGTTTTTGAACAGTTGTTGATTTTGGTGGAGTGGTTTTCTGGACCACAGGCGAGGGAGGTGGTGCTGCAAGTTTACCACGTCTGCTTCGCGTTTGCCTCGTGGAGGTAGGAGAAGATATAGTGGACTTTTGAGTTTGTGGCGCTGCCTGTACTTGACTGGTGGGAACATTGGTGGTGGGAACAATTGTACCAACAACCAGACCCAAACGGGCGTCCATCACCAACTGATAAGAGTTGGGATTATTTCCTTTTGTCGATTGCAAGACAACATTTTGCGATCCTGCACATAAAAAACTCTGCATTCAAAGATGAGTAAATTTCAATGTTTTTTAACTACAGAATATTAAAACAATTTTTACATTATCATCTAGTCAAAGTTACAACTATACTGCACTAAAAAAAAAGCCAACTACATCTACAACTAAGGGATGGGTATCTACTAAATAAAACTCAATATAAAAATGAAAAGTAGAGTTAAAGATTTGCTGTTCAAATAACCACAAAGGGATTCTCAATCGAAAAACCAAACTCATTACCAGCTTTAGCAGGATAAACTAGACCTGGTGGATTGCTTCCTAGTTGAAACACAGTTGTCTGTTCCCCTTGATAAATGACCTCTGCTCCCAACTGCTTTGTAATTTGATCAAGATGCATGCTCATGTCGTTTATTTCTTTTTGTGTTCTGTTGTGCAACTCAAGCTGAGCTGAAGTGAGTTCTTCAGGCCATGCATCCAACTGCAATGTTTCCTCACCATATCGGACAGTTTTTAAGACAATAACATCACGATCTATAAAAATACAAATCAAAAATGTTGTTTTAAATACTTATACTACATTGTATGTATATTACCTGCTGACGATTTTCTATAGCTTAGACGGTATTTTTTCTTTGGAGGCATTTCTTCAACTGGAATTACCTAAAAAACAAGACAGAAGATATACAAGGATTAATTTTATAATAAACAGGCATACATCGTCATCAGAAGGTACCGTGTATGTATCAGGATCATCTTCATCATCGGCATACGCAGATGAAGAAAGAAGTTGTAAATTTTTTAGGGCCTCCTTGCTAGCTGCTCGTCTACTTCGAGGCATTATCACTTATTTAATTGTGCCTACGACAAAGTTGTATCTTATTGGCATTATACACTATTAGCTGTTGTTTTGTGCAAACTATCTTACAGAAGCAATACAAAAACAACGTGAAATCCGATAGAAAAATCAAAAACACTTATAATACAACTGTAAGGAGAAGATTTTCGTAAATAGTAATTATTAATGATACCTGTAATTAATGTATGTTTTCACTTATATTATTAAGTTAAAAGTTATTGGTGATTCATGATTAATTAAAATAGAAAGAAAACACATACAAGAATGAGTTGATAAGTTGTTTATACAACTTATATTACCCTTTGAAAATCACTTCTGCTGTATTTTGTTTCTATATGTAATTAATAACATAAAGTACTCCTAATAGTCGCACCGCTTTGTAATGGTGTAACGCCGATGTAAATAATTTTTGAAAATTTGTTTATAAGCTATCTCAAGGTACTTAGTTAGATAATAAGCAGAGACTTGTAGATAGTATAACCGCCGCAACTGTTTTATAGTTTGCATTTAACCTTAATTATAGAATTTATACACACCTCTAATATTTGAATATTTTATAGAATATGACCAAAATATCCGTTATTAGAATGCTTTCACATGAAAATAATGTATTAATTGTTATTAATCACGAAATTAACATAGAAAGCATCATAGCACCACTCGCTACACATTAGTACATTATTGTGAACGTGCCTTTCGGCTTCGGTTTTTGTAAAATAAAGGAGTGTTCACATAAACTTGAAATTGTAAGCTAAAGCTATAACATTCACAAGGACATGAAAACGAAATAAATATATTTCGTTTATTAGGATATAAATAGGATTATTAAAGAACAACCGAACAGCAAAAAATTAAGTTGAATAAGAACTGTAAGGTATACATACATATAATGGCGGTAAATGCATTTTTGACAGTTGTCGTTGTTTATTAGAAAAATCATGCGTTTACGACAACTTGGGAGTTTTTAAACTAGACAGAAATTCTTTTACACTTAGGCATATCATAAATATGCATTAAACTCACCTCCAAAACACTTCTTTTCAAGTTAAACCTTATTTATAAACTATCTGTCAAACACACATCATGAAATGTTCGGCCATATTGTAAACTGCTCATATATGCTATAAGCCGTGGGTGTCGTGTGTACACGTTAAATGTGTTGCCTAATACAACGCAACATGTTACAGATTAAAAATAAAAAAAGCGCTACTTTCAAATAACTTCTATATTTTTAAAATTAAATTGTTAAAGTACTAGTTGATGATTTAGATTTAAAATTTTATTTGTTGTGCTACTTAAGTTGATTATGAATTATAAAAGCGAATTGATTTTTTAGATAAAATATGTGTATTATTTATTACTCTATTTCATTATTGTTCATCTGTTATCGAATTCAAAATTACTTGTAATAGGCCTAATAAGTAGTCGCAATTCAATTTAATTGTCAAAGTTTACCGTAAAAATGAAATGTCATTTTAATGATGAGTTAAAAGTAGGTTTAATATACCAATTAAAATGAGTGACACCTATAATTGATTATTTTCCAATAAAATTCAATTACATAAATAGCTTTGCAACACAACTATTTCCACTAATACTGTTCTATAACTTGAACATTTATAAAAAATGGATTTAATCGTAAATCCTATAATAAAAAAAATTAGTTGCCTAACACTTTTTGCTGAAGCGCAAAAAAATAAAAAGCATAGCTTTGTTTTTATTTATCCGAAAAATAAGGCAACAAGAATTTTCCCTTCTTCCTATTTCTCAAAATTTAAAAATGGCATAATTTACAACGACATAAGCGTGGTGGTAAGAATACTTCAAATAGGGGCCATTTTTCCAGTAAAAGCGACAAAGAATGGAGAATTCCGATTTTCTAAATTTATATTCGCGTATTCAGTGTTAATTTTCGCAATGTTGTCTACCATAACAGCTTATTTGGTATTTAGCAATGTAAAAATTAAAAAAACAGAAGGTCGTTTTGAAGACGTGGTAATTGAGTATTTGTTTCAATTTTACTTAACTCCTATAATTACTTTTCCCTTACATTGGGTGGAAAGCGCTAAAATGGCCGAAATATTTAGTAAATGGTACTTGTTCGAGGACCTATATCGAAAAATTATTGGAAATAAAATATTGATTCGCAAAAAAAGAAAATATACCATCGTCACTATTGGTTTATGGCTTATGTCAAGCGGAATGATGTTTGCTTTGTACATAACATTAGCTGAATTTGAAGCCCTTAAGGTAAAGATTATTTACTATAACAGAGCACACTTGATTGTAGTAGTTATTTAGGCTCACAACTAGATTTGAAAATTTTATACGCCAGAAGGCTGAGACTGACAAAAGTGAGTTTCTTTGTAACAAAAACATGTAGAGTATATAAATATCGTTCCTATTTATACATAAGCAACAGTTTACTTTGTAATTAGGAGAGTACTTACCGAAATTAAAAAGTTCTAATACACTATTTACACACAATTGTCAGTTGATAACTTTTTGTATAAATAATCTTTTCTTAAAAGAATATGACGTTAAACGTTATTCAAATTTTGTTTTTGAAGTAAAATAGTTAAAGCCTACTATAACTTTGCCACATGTTATTTTAATACTCTTATCTGTTCTGCACTATCAAAAATGCCAATAAAGCGTAATATGAAAGATACATAACTTAAAAATGAAAAAATTATGAAAAACGTTCATGAAAAATATGGGAGAAGGTGCTTTAAACAGAGACAAACGTTATATCTCAGAATCGTCATATTCCTATAAGGAAAGTCATGGACGTGACCACGACAATTTCCACTTCGTTCGTGTTGTCTTTTCTCATCTTATCCTCGTGATGATAAGTAATCAAACATCAATTGCAATCGAAAAATATTTATTTACATAAAAAATTGTTTAAAACTCCTTCCCATCCAATTTATTTCTGGAGCATAAGGTTACTGTAGGAAAAGACAACACTTATGAAGTGAATGTCATGTCGCTTATTTGTTTACAACAATTGAGCACCGTTAGTGTTGAAAATTGTAATAGCTTTTGTACTTGTATGGAGGTGTATTGTAATAATATTCTTCAGGTAATTCCATATTGTTTTTTTAACGTTACTATATACATCTTTGGAGGATTTTGGTGCATATATATGGACGCGATAAGATGCGTCGCGACGCAATTGGAAAAGGATTTTAGACGAAGTTTACGCAACATAGGACCGTCATATATTCCCGCCGAATTAAAAATACTTTACATGTCTCTCAACGAACTACTTCAGGATTTTAGTAGCGCATTATCGTATTCCTTAATATTTTTATTCTTGTTTCTATTCGTAACTGTTATTTTAAGTATTTACGGCCTGGTATCTCAATTATCCCAAGGAATAACATGGAAAGACGTACCTCACGCTGTTACGGCAATAATGGCACTTGCTGTCCTGTATATCTCGTGCGAAGCGGCAGAAAAAACAACAACAAGCGTAAGCATTCAAATTTCAAAAAAAGAAAAAATCGTTTTATTTAAATAATAAATTAATAGAAAAGACAGTAGATTATATATAGATTTAGTAATTATATCAAAAAAAAATCTGAAATGAGACATAGGTACTCTACAATGCGTAGTTACACTTACTGAGCTAATTTAAACGCCAATATGAAATTACAAGTGAGTAAGTCAGAAAGCACGTGTTGTAATGTCATATGGTATGCGGAATTACCTGTTAGACTGTGGACATAGGGGTAATGTAGGGAAGGAGCATAAACTAGTGAGGTGGAGGCTATCAGGGGGAAAACGGTGAGGTATGTAGCATGTGCCTAGATACTATTGGCTGCACGTACTGTCAAACACGACGTCACCATGACGACATTTTGATATGATAGCTTAATTATTCTACGAGACTAAATTATAATTCTGAAATTGATAAATTAGAAATAAAAGCTTTCTAGATCATCTATGCTAAAAAAGTAAAAAAAAATCTCTAATTTTATAATGACTTCTATACATTTAAATTAATCGTAATTAAGCAATGATCAAGTACAGAGACGTAACCACTAAGATTTAGGCACCACTGTAGGGGCCCATTACTCACCCCCCTGAGAGCTTTCACTCTCCTATTATCCCTCTGCCCGGGTGCCAAATGACCAAACAAAAACTAGCCCTCTTCGCTCTTGTCACATTTCGTCACGTTATGCAATAGCCCCCTTACCCCTGTTATCGAACTTTTTCAGAGATATTTTTAAAAAATAAAATAGGGCGCTTTTATCGTATTTCCTTCTATTCGTATTTCGTGTTGTATAATATGTTACATATAAATGTATTAATGCATTTTTAGCTGAAAAGGAATTTTCAAAAGCCTCTATTACTTTTGGATACTACGTGGATGCGGCATGAAACTAAAAAAGAGGTACATCATACAATATTGATAAAATCGTTTATAATTCTTTTGAAAATTTTGCAAATATTAAACTCATCATTTCTTCGATTATTGTTAATTCTTGAAAAAAAAAAAAACTAAAGCACTTCAGAGTATCTTAAGGCGAAACATCTGTTATAGATTGTCGCCATACAAAGCCTTTAACATTGAAATACATTGATTTTTTTAAACTGTTCAAAACTTTTATGTTTCTGTATAGTTATGCAAAATTTAATTGCAGATAACGTCTTTCTTAAGAGCAACTCTAATGAATAATTCAGATGTCAATATAAGCGGATTTTTTACCGTGAACAGAGGGATGTTCGGAGCAGTTAAATAATAAATAAATATAGTGGTTAAAACATGAACAATTAATATTGTACTTTCAGCTTATGTCAACGATGGCAACGTATCTCATTGTTTTACTTCAGTTTCAAATTATACTTCCAGAAGAAATGGAAGAAGAAAATATTGTTAATAACAGCACTTCTTACAATGATTACCTACCCACTGAAGTAACAGATTATGGATATACATTTAATATTTAGATTAACTTTTAGAAATAGACGTTTCTTAATTAGGTTGTTTATTTCAAGATAATGGTATTAGAAGAGTATTTAAATAAAAAAATATAAACTGGCAACATCTTATGTTACAATAAATATTAAATATTTTGTTTGGTGGTATATTTTATTTAGCGTCAGGGGTTACAAATAATTCCACTTCCAATATTTTAAAAAAAAAATTAGGTAATCAAAATTGTTCTCCAACAGGCTTTAAAATTAATTCATGCACCTAAAAACAAAACGTAGATATACCTATTGTATATTTGAAAACATGCACAGTATTATATATTAAAAAATATATATCTTCATCGGATGACAGCAGGACACTGTAAATGTCAACAAAACATTAATCAAATACCGGACGGTCACCGGTACCGTGTGTAAAATAACTTTAGTCGACGGATTAAGGTCCGTGTATAAGAAACCTTCCGGGTGATACTTACGCTACTTACTGATTGACTCTTACATATAATTCAATTTAATTATCAATAAATTGTACCTGAACATGTTGCGGAGTTGTCAAAACATATTTAATAGCATCTGCGACATCTTGGGGCTTCAATTGTGGAATTGAAGAGTCAGTGTCAAGGTTCGAGCAGGATACACTGGATTCCGAGGCAACAACTCCAGGACTTATACTCTAACGTAAAAAGTTACTTTTTACAGAGTTACAGTGAATTATATAAGCAAATGCCTTTATAAAAATATTGGGTTTACTTATTGACAATAGGTTGTACAGGAAATTGATAGAAATGAACAAAGTTTGAGCCACATGAGGCACGACGAAATCTGATGGAACATGCAGGCCTCATGTGGCAAAGAAAAAGCGCGCCAGTAATGAGATTTCCCGTTAGACTCCTCATGAGCACTCCGGGAATAAAACCGGCGATCTGAAGTGCGATAGGCATACCTTAAGAGTTTTTCATAATGCACGATGTCTACAGAGTACGAACAAAAGCAAATGAGAAACTGGACGAAAAAAGCTTTAAAAGGAAATTCTTAAGCTCAAAATTATATACTGTATTTTTTTTTACTTTTTGTCCGACCTTTCTTTTAGTTTCTTTTCACGTTTTACAAGCATTTGTGCATCAGTCTACCCTCGTATAATCGTATGGGGATGCAAATGTTCAAAAGTTTGTTTATATCATTTCTTACCGTCACTTTTATTTTCAAATTACAATTCATCAATTCACGTCTCAACGTTTCCGTTAATGCGGTAACAGCAAATTTTGCAGCAGCGTATACATTAACGCTTGTACCAGGAAAGTATGGTATGGTGTGTCCGGCAATGCTATTCATATGTATGATATGGCCACTGGTCTGGTGTGTCCTCATGTCTCGGACGGCTTCTCTTGTGGCAATGCATAAACCAAAAACGTTTGTTTCGAACACTTCTTTCCATTTTTGAGTGTCGCCGTCTATTAGACTGGTATGTCTGGCAACTCCAGCGTTGTTGATAAGAATGTGAACGGGGCCCAAATTGCTTTTTATCCACTTAAAACCGGTTAAAATTTCGTTTTCGTTGGTTATATCCACCATCAAAACATACAGTTTACCCTTTTCGTGTTGTAATTTCTCGAACAATTCCTGTACTCGTTCCTTTTTACGAGCGAAACCAGCCACCTAAGGAAGTTGTAATTCGTAACTACTCCGAATTCTCCAATTTTTCTTAATGTTTTTAATGATATAGGTAGTTCATTAATCGTTATTATGTTATACGCACATATCAAAATTTTTATAAATAATACGATAATACATTATAATTTTGGAAAGTGGAAATTTAAAAGCTACCATTAGAATTTAAAACGTTCTTTGGTAACTTCTGCGAATGGTCTTCTTGTTTGTCCAACGTAAACTTTTGATTTCTTATGTCTTTTTGTTATTTTTAATTTGAATGAGATTTTTTGTTTTGCTTTAGAAATTGATAACATTAAATTTATAAGGATATATTTGTCTTATAATTTTATTATTGGGGACTTATTTTCAGAAAACTATTAAACGAAAACATCCTTAAGACAATATTGAATTTTTAATGATAAATACCGCCTTAATTAATAATTACAGATTTTACAACTATGCATATTTTTCATTTTTTTTTTGGCAAAATCGGTGGTTAGAACATAAACTTCCACGCTTACCAAAACACCCTCCTTGACCATCATTTCCGCTATAGCCGCACCAATTCCTGTTGTAACCCCTGTCACTATGGCAACTTTGTTGACCCATCGTTCCATTTAACATAAAATTTTATTTTATTTATTTTTTTATTGTCATAAAAACGTAATGTTTATGTCAAAATTGACTTTACGTTTCAATGAATTAGCCAACTTGCAATGTTTGTTTATTAGATATACCGTGTTCTTTATTATCTCGTAAATCAGACGCCGCAAAATAATTTGCTGTCCTAAATAATATTTATAAGATATTTTTATAGTTTTCAGTGTAACTAGTTTACATAAAATAATAACAAACGAAATAAAATGTAGAATGTACGGGACCTCCAGTTTCTAGGTCCAAATTGCTTCTTATACTTATTGAAAGTATTTTGGCCTTGTTTTGGATTTCATTAAAAACGACTTCTCAAAATTTGGAGGCCCTTTCCCAACACCAGAGAGCCGATGCGGGCCGCCCCTTCTATCCCCCTGTATTCACATATAATTCTTCTTCGACTAATTTTTTGGCTGTAGCAGCAATTTTTGTTTTTATTATAACAGTTACTAGTGTTTGCAGTAAGTAAGTACCAAGAATTACAATGTTTCATATTGCTACTCAGATAATGTACAAAAGATTAAAATTATTTTATTTAATTTTGCATTATTTCATATGACAAATAAAATCAAAAATATTTTTTATCATACTTTCGCTGATAAATTGAAAAAATGAATTTTTACATTTGATATATGAAGGGAATTCCAAAAGTAAGATCTCCAAAGCTCCATGAAGATTGTCCCTTTACTTAAAGGGATCTTTTAACTAAACAAATGAATAAAAAATACACGTTACTTTTAATTCTTTATGCGTTATATACATTTAGGATGATTCTAGGTGTGTAACGTGTCATGTTCTGATGTCGATTAATAAACCAGAACAAAAGAAGATATAACGCGGTGCAAACGCAAAATATTAAATTTCACAGTCAAAGACTAAAAATGCACTACACAATTTCTCCAACTGCAGTTAATGTTAATTCGCGTATCTGAAATACAACACTCTTAATATAAACAAACCCCAAAATTTTTGCATTTGTTACCTGAACTGTTGGGGGTGTTCCTAACACGTAAATTACTACATCTGCCACTTCTTCAGCGGTTACTCCAGGAATATCTTCGACCACGTCCTGAGGGACATACCCTGCCGCCTTTCTGAAGTCAGTTTTGACTACTCCAGGACTCACGCTCTTTAACAAAACATTTAAAATTAATTAGGGCGTAACTGTATAAGAATTCCCTGGTGATGGATCCTTACAGTTATTTTAATTTTCAACTTTTCTTCATTAAATTCGTTAAGTAGGGCTTCTGTTAACGCCGTTACTGCATATTTTGATGCATAATACATGTTCAATGGTAACTTAATTACCCTATGACCAAGCATACTATTGATGTGAACGATGTGACCGTCTATTTTGTTTTCTTTCATTTGTCTTACAGCTTCCCTTGTCGCAACAGAAAGGCCCAAAACATTCACGTCAAGCACTTGTTTCCATTTTTCGTAATCACCATCGCTTAGGGTGGTATTCAAGGCAATTCCAGCGTTGTTCACGAGAATGTGAACTGGACCTAAATTCTCTTTCACCCATTTAAACGCATTTATGATTTCCTCGGGCTTTGTTAGATCCACTTTTAAGGCATGTAATTTTCCTTTTTCTCCATCGAGTTTTTTAGAAAGGATTTCTATTGGTTCCTTACGTCTAGCAAGACCAACTACCTAAATTGTTACGACATTTTATATTGATGGATTTAGTACTTGTGCAGTTTTAATGAACTCTTTATGACAAATTCTGTTATTTTATGAATCATTCCATTGCATGTTATTATAATGAAAATTGTGTCGCTCTTTTGAAAATGAAGAAACCTAGTAAAAGTTGATATAGTAAGTTAAGAGCTTGTTGGACATACACATCTGCTTTACTAATTTTTACTAAATTACTTGAAAATTAATACAGTATGGGTACTCAAAATAGTTATAACTAGACATCGGATTATATTCACTATCAAAATGCCAAAATATGCATGCAAATATGCACTAAAAAAGGGTGAAATATGCACAATAAAAAAACCATTTATAATTAGAATTTACGTTTTCGACGTCAACTGACGTTACCGGACAGAACTTGAAATTTGGCGCCATTCCTGCAGAGACCTCTTCAGGAAGAGTTTGTCCGGTACCGTTGATAAATGCGTCAATTTTCTTTATTTCGTCAAGACCGGGGTTTTTATACAAAACTGCATTTAATTTGCCACGAACCTTTTGCGATATTGAACTCGGAAGGGCGTTACTCTGTTCAATCATTTTTTCTAATATTTTCACAAAGGAAGATTTTTAGTTTCTAGTTTTTCAATTGCATCGGATATATTGCTGAAACCTGTGGAGTCGACGGCATAATAAAACACGCCTAACACGTATAACTACTGAAATAAGCACTGTTAATGAAAAAGTACCAAAATATGCAAAAACTCTATAAAATAGAATTATATGCATTTGCAGTTTTATTGTATTTATAAGTAGAAATGATGGGGAGGGGGGGGGCAACTTTGAAAGTAAACATGTTATTATTGATGGGTAAAGATCCTAAATCATTTCAGTTACAGTTTAGGTGATCTATCGATCAAATAATTAAAAAGATGTATATATAAAATTATTTCGTTTCTGTTTTTGAGTCATCAATCTTCGTTCGTATGCTAATACTTCAACTTTCGAATAATACTAACATTGCCACTTACGCATAATATTTAAAAAATTTCGTGAAAATGATTGCGCTGGGAGCTTAAAAGATATTATGTATGTAAAACAGGGTAGGTACCATCTTTAATAATAATAATTCGTTTAGCAAATGGTCATTGCATTAATGGCTATATTATACGAGTAGGTAAAATAAAACAAAAAAAAATTTCAAAAGCCATACTTGTAGTCCTTCCTTAACCAATTTTTCAGCAAGGACTGCACCAATTCCAGCGCTAGCTCCTGTAACAATAGCAACTTTGCCGACCCAGCGATTCATTTTGATTAGGTATTTGCAAATGCTACAATAAATACAATATTTTCACTTTTTACCGGAGAAATTTAGAGTAAAATGAAAATTTTGGCGTATGTTTAAATATGTTTACACTTTATGTATGACTCCTTGTTTAAGTTTGTACTTGCTACTTCGCATGGCACTGCTAAATTACACTGCGCTATTAATAATACTGATAGAAAACCCATGAAAACATCGAATGGCATTCAAATGCGATAATGCTTGACTGATTATTACTTGCGTATGTACATGTATATCATACAAAAGTATGCACAATCAATTCCAGTTTTCGTTTGTATTTTACACCATAGAAACACATGTGTAGGCGGTCGTGCCAATAAATATGTATTTTAAATACGTACTTTATTACGTAATTCCACACATTAATCCTTTTTTTCTCTTTCTTTGAAGATAATACTTTAGGTAGTAGGTAATCAATTTCATACTCATAAGGTCGTCAGTCCTAAGACTAGTTGGACACACACCTCCACTCCTTCCTAATCTACTTAGGTAATATTTATTTAAATTTTTTATAATAATATGAAAAATCAAACAAAACTATAATACATATGAGTACAAATAAGAGCCAATAAAGGTATAATCAATATAATATATATTAGAAATAAATAAATCTTATACCCTTATTGATAGAAACGGAAAGTATAACTACAATCAGGGCCGGATTTTCTCTTAATGTCGCCCTGGGTACCGTAAAGATTCCGCCCCACTATACCCATTTTCTACACAAAATGGGTAGGTGTTCAGAATACTTTTTGATTTTTCGCTATAAAAATAAAATAAAATTGAGAAGTTTCTGAATTCAGGCCAATTTTCGAAAAAGGAGTATTCATCAGATTTCGACGTTTTGAGATCATAGGATGTTAAAACTCAAAAAACTACGCTTCATGCCGTAAATGTCATCAAAATCAGTCGATCCGTTCGAAAATATTGTTAGCGAAAAAAATTAATTTTATTTTTTTGAAACATTCAAATTCCTAGTGAAATCGAGATTTGGTAGTCAGCTATCTATATCTGTTTGCACTTTGCAATATTAACAAATGCTGTTGGTTAATTCACTTAAAAGATATTTTTTACACACTTTTTTCAGCATTTATGATAGCGCAATTTTTTTTCTCAGGCCCCGAATTTCACCGCGCCTGGAAATTTGCCGCCTTGCACTAACCCCTAGTGTTGATCTAGCACTGGTCACAGTGCATATGAATGTATACGCTACAAATATAGATAATTAGTTTATGAGGAACAGATAAGAAAATCGATCTTTTCAACAGGAAAAAGAAGTATATTGATATATAGGAAAATAATTTGCTAAAGGGAGCCCCGACATTTCCATTATGTTGGAGCCACTACAGGCACAGGTATACTTCTTTAAACCGAGATCTAAATCGATCTTCACAATAGTTGAACGTACCGTCGAAATTTATGAAGTTCTTAAGTTACAAGCCAAAAACTGTTCCCATAACAATTACACGAAGAAAATGAAAAAAAAAATTGCCTAAATATTAAAGCGATATTTACAATTTATCCCACTAGCCCGCTGTTTCGTAAGCGAAAAGAATAAAAATTACAATTTGGATCCGAATTTGTAAAAATAAAATCCCAGCAGAAATAAATTTACTAGGTATTTTAGTTGATATTACACATTTAATTGAAAAAATTAAGACACTTGAAATATTTTTTAAAAAAGCATGTCAAAATTGAGATTATTACAAGTTACCTAATAAATTCTACTATTTCTACGGCAAATTCAGTAATTTATAATCGAAAATTGTAATTTTTGCTTTGCCATAAAAATGTAGTTTCCTCCATGTACCATATGGTGATGATGATATAGAAACGAGCTTACAACTACCCAGAAGTAATTCATACTCTACTATCTTCATTATCATATAAAGACACCAGCCCAAAGATTGGTTGGACACGCATCACCACTTGTTTCAATCTTAAGCTAACCTTTGCAACAGTAACTAGCAGGTCTCCCTGTACCGTTCTTAACTCCTGCTTCTGCTTCTAATATATCTCTAACTAGCCCTTCATGCCTCAGAAAGTGTGCTGGCAAAGCCTAGCTCGCCTATTTCTATTTCATACTGTATATAAAAAATGTACCAAACAGTCGGCTAATTTTAATTCGTAAGATGGAAAAGGGAAATAGAAACTGACATTTTTATAGTTATGTGAAAATCAAAGCCAATTAGGGATAAAAAAAATTTAACGCTCACGTTTCATCTTTTACAGCATCGAATTAATTACGACATATACATTGACCTTAAAAACCTCCTTGAAAATGTTCTACAGCCCAAACGAAACGTCTCTGTATAACGAACACTTTATATCACGGAAGAAAAAAGGGGATTATGGGAAACAAATACACAAATAATATTTAATTTGTTAGCAGTATTACAAAGTACATTTTTACACAATTTCTCCCACTGCAGTTAGCGTTAATTCCCTTATCTGAAAATAAAAATGTTTATGGTTACAAACAGAACATCGGCTATTATCTTATAAACGATAATAACATAAATGTCAATTTACCAAAACAGTTGGTGGTGTTCCCAAGACATAAATTACAGAATCTGCCACTTCTTCAGCTGTGACTCCAGGAATATCCTCTACCACGTCTTGTGGAATATACCCAGCGGTCTTTCTAAAGTCTGTTTTAACGACTCCAGGACTTA